CTCCTTCTCCCTCTCCTACCTTCTCCCTTCCATTCTCCCTCTCCCCTCTCTTTCCCTCTTTCCCGCTTCCCTCTCCCTCCTCCCTTCTCCCTCTCCCTCCCCCCTCCCCTCCTCCTTTTCTCCTTTCTCCCCTCCCTCTCCTTTCATTCATATTATATTCTACTTCCTTCTTTCTTTCTTTTTTTTGACTCTACACGACCAAAAAGACGACAAAGCCTCAGCGGATCACCTATTACATATTGACGTGCAAATGTTGGGAGAAGCCCTTTGGTCCCCCGAGTACATGTTGTTTGCTGTTTCAGTCGGTGTATTTGTACAGCGTCTTGGCTGTGACGTGTGATGACTCTGACTTCACGTGAGCTGGGGAGGCGGAAACTAATCCGCTGTGGTTGGTTACTGTGGGTGACCAAGGTCGAGAGAGGGGAAGAGGGAGAGAGGGAGAGAGGGATGAGAGGGAGAGAGGAGGAGGGCAAGAAAGGAGAGGGAGAAAAAAGAGGAGGAGAGAAAAAAAAAAAACAAAGAGCGAGTGAGAGGGAGGAATGGAGGGGAATAGGAGTGAGTGAAAAAGGTGTAAGGAAGAGAGGAAAGAGGAACAGAGACTGAGAGAGAAGATCGATGAGAGAGAGAGGAGCCTCAGCGAGCAGAAGGATGAAGAGAAGGAGAGAGAGAGAGAGAGAAGAGAGAGAGAGAAGAGAGAGAGGAAGAAGAAGAAAAAAAGGAGAGGAAAGGAAAGAGAAGAAAAAAAGAAACTGACAAGAGAAAGACAAAGGGAGACAAAAAAAAAAAGATGAAGGGAAACTGTTGAGAGAAAAAAAAAACTAAAAAAACACACCAGACAGAAAAAAAACAGAGGGCGGGGAAGTTATAATTAAAAAGCACACATCGCAGTAAAAAGAGAAAGAGAAAGAAGAGAGAGAGAGAGAGAGAGAGAGAGAGAGAGAGAAGAGAGGAGAGAGAGAGAGAGAGAGAGAGAGAGAAGAGAGAGAGAAGAGAGAAGAGAGAGAGAGAGAGGAGAAGAGAGAGAGAGAGAGAGAGAGAGAGACGAGAGAGAGAGAGCGAGCGAGAGAGAAGAGAAGAAAGATGAAGAGAGAAGAGAAAGAAAGAAAAAAGAAAAGAAAAAGAAAGAAAAGAAAGAAAGAAAGAAAGAAAGAAGAAAGAAAGAAAGAAAGAAAGAAAGAGAGAAGAGAGAAGAGAGAGAGAGAGAGCAGAGGCCGAGAAAGAGAAAGAAAAAAAAAAGAAGAAGAAAGAAGAAAGAAACGAGAAGAGAAGAGAGGAGCGAGCGAGAGGCACAAACCGGCATCTCCCCTTCAGGATTAGGCCGAAGGAACGCAATGATGGGGTAAGACCCCGGCAGACATGTTCCCGTGGGATAGGGTTACCGTCCCTATGGGCCCGGAAGCTTGGGTTTCTTCACTCCTCGCTTTTTTTTTATCGCTTTTGATTGCTTATCTGGTGGAAAGATTGTGAAATGGTTTGCTTGGCTCTCTTCTGTCTTTTTTTTTTCTCTCTCTCTCCCTTTCATCTTCCTCTCTCCCTCTCATCTTCTTCTCTCCCTCTCATCTTCCTCCCTCCCTCTCATCTTCATCTCTCCCTCTCATCTTCTTCTCTCCCTCTCATCTTCCTTTCTCCCTCTCATCTTCCTCTCTCTCTCTCTTCCCCTCTCCTTCTCGCTTTCCTACCCCCCCCCTCTTCCCCCAGCCCTTCTTCATGTCCCTCTCCCCTTCTCTTTCCCCACTCTCCCCTCTCTCCCCTCCCTCCCCCTCTCCCTCTCTCCCCTTCCCTCTCCCTCCCTTCCCCCCTCTCTCCCTCTCCCTCCCCCTCCCTTCCCCCCTGCCACTTCCCCAAACGCCAGCCAATCAGCGCCTCAAAACAAAGATCTGTTCCCAACCCCACAAACCGCACTGAGCCAGACGAGCCTTCCTCCTGTCATTATCAGGATCATTATCGTCATCATTACCATTATCAGGATAATTATCTTCATCATTACCATTATCATGATCATTATCTTCATCATTACCATTATCAGGATCATTATCTTCATCATTACCATTATCATGATCTCTATCACCATCTTTACCATAATATATATCTTTATCATTACCATTATCATTATAATCATTAGCATTATCACCATCATCGTCATCATCTTTAATATCAACATCCTTATTACCTTGGTTCAGTTGTGTCATTATGCATTCGTTAAGATTCATCACCATGGATCAAATAAAAAAAAACAATAAAAAATAAATAAACAAACAGATAAATAAATAATGAAAAACAAAAAACAAAAAAGACAAAGATCGAATGAAAAGGAAAACAAGGAAAGAAAAAACAAAAAAAAAAGATAAAGATCAACTGAAAGGAAGACAAGGAGAGAAAAGAGAAAAAACAAAAGCAAAAAATGACGACACAGTACACCGCATAGGCTGAGCAGAGACCTCGGAGGAATGCGTATGACAACGAGCTTTTAATTTGAAAATGTTAACGCATGGTAAAGTCA